GTATCCATACACACATTATAAAAATATATAAACCATGCCTTGAGTGGAAGGTTTGACATTTTGCATCAGGAACAACTAGCCAGATGCATTTATATTAAATTTTCAAATAAGCAAGTAGAGGTTCTAAGAGTTTAAGTTGAATTTTCAAGGTTAAGAGACTCTTAATAATCTAAATCTTCTGATTCCAAATCCAGTGCTCCTTCCCCTTCCCTGTTGGTTTTAATTTACTAACAAAATGGAGTCAAGAAATTTTGATCAACTGACCTGAAATTCTTCAAAGTTACTATGCTTATAAATATTCTCAAAATTCCCGATCATCCCTCTCAATTATTGAAGTTCAAGTCTGTTTCATTACATCATAGCTTGCTAAAAATATCTTGCAATGTTTGATGAATGGGTTAGTGGCACAAGTGAACATGTGAAACTAGAAAATATGTTGATAGCTATTTCGGACTAGCACTATTATTATAATTGTAAATAGATAAAAGGTACTAAAATATTTAAAAGAGTGCCATAGAGAAGCACTTTTATTTGCCGAACAATTAAAGATACTTGGCTCTCTAAACTTTAGGAATATTACATTTAATAAAAGCATAAAAGCAATGATGGCATCTTAAAGTGTTCTCATATCATGTGATTTAGAAAATTCAAACTAATTTCTAATCTTTTAAATAGGTCTAGCCTTGGTTTAATTGGGACTGTACAAAAGGCACAAGGAATTTAGAATTTAGGACAATAAAAATGGAAAACAATGATATTCCCTTGAGAAAAGTATTAAAATTATTAAATTAATTTTGCACACATCTACCCCCAGAGGATTAATTTTATTTTGTACCTAAAAAAAAAAAGCAATTCAATCTCCTTCTGCCACTTATCAAGCACTTTTCTTCATGCTCTCACAAGTTCATTGCTATGAGAGATGACCCTGAAAACAGATAAGTTAAAATGATTTCCCAAATGTCAAAAGCCAGAGAAGACAGCAGGACTAGTTCCAGAGCCTTCCCACTGTCGATGCTGTTACTATTTGCACGGCTTCCGCACAAGAAAACAAGCAAAAACAAATTACACTGTTCGGCTTGGTTACTATCCTCAATTTCTGTAGCTCATTTCTCAGTCCCATTACAAACCAGCTCTATTTTTGAAAGAAGACCATTTTATTTACAAAATTATATGAAGTTTGACTTTCTTCTAGTACTGAATGAGGTTCTTTTGTTCCATTAATTGCTCCTCTAGTAGGACATTACCTCTGGGAGAACATTAGCTCCCTGTGTCATTGAAAAGACTCATCTGACACTCGGGACCCACCAACTTCCCTCTTGCTCTGTGGGCTCCGATTCAGCATGAAAAGTAAAGCGAGAAAAGGTTCTGCTTCACTCCTTTGACATAAAGCAGGGAAGGAAATTCTCTGGGTTATTCACTGACGATAAAGATATTAATTTACATAGCCTATCTTCTGGAAGCCCAAACGGATATTTAGTTGATTTAATAGAAACCTTGCACAAAAGGGCTGGCATCACAGAATCAGAGCAGGATAGATAGAAAAAGGCTATAATAGAGGCCGGGACCAAGTGACAGCCTAGACAGGGATGAGTTTATAGAGTTCTCTCCTGTAGACTTCAAACTAGTAGACACCCACGCACCTATGCTCTATTTTTAGACGGTTCTTTAATGAATAATCGCTTACTAGCACTTCACCAGAAAGAATAAATGTAAACAGATGCTTGGTCTGACTAATTAACTGGGCAATTCACCCTCCTCTCCCCATGATCTTGGCTTAGGTAAGTATTCTAACTATGTAGTCTGAACTGGATTGTAAGAGAGGTGAATGAACACCGTTCTTGCTCTAGGTTTCAGTACTACAACGTTTCTATTTCATAGATGAAAACATTCAGGAATAGGTGTTTATTCAGTATACTTGGGTAATTTTTTTAAAGAGACAAAAATTACTTTAAAAATTAAAAAAGTCTCAGGAAAGCAATCCACACATACTACAGTTTGGGAATCTGAACATGCAAAGACCCAAACAGCAAACGCACAGTTAATCAGACACCGAAGTCACCACTTGAAATTTTTGATGACAGAGTCTGTGATCAAGTTTTGAATGCAAAGAATAAAGAACCGTAAAAGTGACAGAATTACAGAATTTTCCTTCCATTGGCAATTAAACTCAGACTTGACAATTAAAGTCCAACCTTATTTCATTAGATATTAATCTTGCAGTGGAAATGAGAGGCTTTTTAGGAGTATTTCTGCTACAATAAAAAAGAGTCTTACTAGAGTAGAACAATAAGGTTGTATTGAGAGTTATGAGTAAAACTATTAGGGCTCGTTAGCTAATTATGGTATTGGCATTCTCTTAAGTTAGTCAGTTTCTCACTTATGTCATTTTCTCCTATTCAACTGCTGCAGTTCCAAACGTTTTGACTACTTGCAAGGGAATACATCATTGTTGCCTTTCTCCAGTCTAACTGCACACCACTTTCCAAAGCAATAGCTTCAATCATGCTTCATAAAATCCCCTGCAAGTATATTGTTGGAAACATAAATCAGCAAGCTGGGATTTTAGTATTTATAAGGCAAGCCCAGGGATCACTGACTGGTGGCTTTTCCATGGCCCCATTTACAAAAGAATAAACAAAATTATGAGTTCCGCTAGGACCATTTTTTTTTTTTTAAACAGCTCCCAGTGGTCTGTCGATACTGGCTGCTGCATCCTTAATTAGAGAACAAAACACTAGCACAGAGGAATTGGACTCCAAGACAAAGATTTCCATTTCCAAACCTCTCTGACTTCATTAGAACACATGGCACAGAAGGGCTACATGTTCCTTTTCACAAAGGCTAGGATCCTCTGATACGCATCTGGCCCCAGTGAGGGCCATGCATTCTGAAATTGTACAAGATAGAGAGATCTTCTTTACAATGATGGTCTCCTACCCTGTTTCATTATAGGGAATATGGGTGCCCCTTCAGACCTCTTTACAGTCTCAGAGACCCTCTTTACAGCCACCTTGCATTCTGAATTAAATTAGCTGAATCTCAATTTCACATATTCATTACATACAGAAATCCAAATTACATGTGTCTGTGTGCACTATTTAAACCTAGATATCTAAACATTCCTAGATTTCCCCTGTGTCTCCAAATTCCAATACACTTAGCCTCTGCATTGATAAATTCAGACTCCACAACTGAGACATTTTTCTTCTGGAAACCACTCACCATGTAATCATAAGTCTGCATAAACTTCCCTCCTATTATTCCCCTCTTCTTCTCCACACTATCTACACTTGTTTAATTGCAGTTATATTTTAATGGCAATTTTCAGGGACTGTTTCTTAGTGCTCAGAAATACCTGTCTATGTTATAAATGAACAGTTAAATACAATCAGCTGCTCTCCAGAAATTAAAGCAGTTTATCTGTAGGGCATAAGTGTATGTTGATCTTTGCTATAAGAACGACTGAACGAACCAATTGGGCTAATATTATCTTCAGATGGTTATATCTGCAATTTTGCCCAGAGTGAAACATTGCATACCCTATGTTATTAAGGGAAAACGAGCTGCATTTTATCAAGACACTTTACAAACTATAGCAATACCCAGCGTTTTCATTCTGACTTCTGAACATGAAATCTGCATCCAATCGTGTTTCATCAGCTACTAACACTATAGCTTTGGGGAGGAGAAGGGCAGAGAAAGGAAGGCTTCACATCCAAAATGTCAAGCCCTGCTGAAGAATGATAGAAGGACTCTGTGTGGAAGAGCAGAAACAACCATTTTCAGGGTTTAAAATGGAGTTCTACCACCCCCTGCTGGACCACATGAGCAATACAGAAGAGACTTAAAAATGCTTAGAATCGAATATAGTGGGGATATTTTAACTTGTCTAGTAATTTATTATTTTCTAAAAAGAACCAATTTCATGCTACACTAATAATATAATATTCCTTGCAATTATAATACACATCAAAATTACAACTATCTTCTTTTCCTTTAGAGACTTCCACCAATGCATATTTTAGAATTGTGTGTCCCCAATTAAATGTCCAAACTTGCCTGGACAGTTTAAAATGCTTCCATGCATTGCATATTTTATGTGAATATGGACTATCTAAATAAGGAATAGAAATTCATATCTATCTCTACCGACAAACAGAGGCAGCTACCACGAATTCTCTCTCAGGTTATTCTACCAGGCTATTCTTTCTTTTTCTTTTTTCTTTTTTTCTTTTTTGAGAGATAAAAGATCCCACAGTTTCCACTACCCCCAAAATCCCCTCACAGGTGCAATTGCAATCTAATGTCATAAAATTCTCCAACCTTGCTGTATTCACAAGGGGTGGTGGGGTGGGGTGGGGTGGGGGGCGGTCAAAATGAATGACTGCAACACATCCTTAGTTTTATCCATTTGCTTTCTTACACCATCCATGGCCCCTCTCTTGGTTTCCAACAGAAATAAGCCACCATCGTTCACTTCATAGTCAGGAATTAGGGTCTTGGGGAAGGGGTGGGGGAGAGTCTCCAAGAATTGAAATTCTTGCACACGACAGATATTTTACAAATGAGTTTAACGCAGATAGTTTCTGCTGCTTCCGTAAAGCCCCATCGTGCCCTTTCCTTCTGCAACCTCAGATATTTAACTATGAATACACACCATCCTACTCATCCAATTTTTCCGATCATGAAAATACGAGAAAGCCAAAACCCCAGGGCGGGGAGGGCAAAAAAAAAAAAAGCAGTTTTTCTGGATCACCCGAGCCCCCTGATCCCCCTCTCCCATTCCCTATTTCCTCTGCTCTTACCTAAGGGTCTCGACAAAAACAGACACAATTTTAGGGGCAGCTCAGAGAAGCCGAGAAAGAGCGAAAGCATCACAACCGCGGCAACAATCCCCGCAACTTTAGCTCCTCCGCCGAATTCGCCCCGTGCCCCCCACCCCCGGGGTCGGGTGGAAGGGGGGGGGGGCAAGTCAAGGCAATCCCGCACCACACTCCTACCTTGCCCGCGACTGACAAGCAACCCGAGCAGGTAGAAGGAGAGGAGGAGGCTCATGTTCAGGACGTGACACCGGTGGACAGTTTCAAAGTTATTCAGTCCAGCCCCGGAGAGAGAACCTTCCG